GGTCTGGGAACGATTTAAACTCGTACTGCGAGGTTCTACTGTACACTTAATTTCCACACTTGAACACACGGTATAATTTTCGACGAACAATTCACGCAATTTACTTACTACTGCGCTTGACTCAATTGTCCGTCTATATCTTCAATCTCTTTGTCTGCAATTCTATATCTCGATTCATTGTCTGGCGCACTTATATACAAGAATAGAGGGCGCCTAGCAAATGCTGGATTATTCGTGATGTTCCCCGATCTTTCCAGAACTCATTACGTGTTACCAGCGTCACGTGACTTCCGCTATCGTAACACTGCCCCTTCCTTAGTATTGTTCGTCCCGAACAATAGCCACTTACATTAAACCAATAGACAATTAACAATAACTTAATTAAATGGACAGAATTTACAAACACAAAATTAAAATTCAACAAAGTCTCTTAATTTCACGGGACGTATTTTCTTCGGTACTGGTCTCCGTCTCGTTGGCTTATGCTTCACGTGGGGTTCATCTGCTCCATCAGGAAACGTCCTATTATCGGTAATAGTCACATCAGTGGTAGTAATTTCATCAAGGGCTCACTGTTTCCCTTCTCAAAACCGAGTAGGGTTTCTTCTTTGATATTGGCTTTTCCAGGTGACACGTCTTCTGTTCCGTTGTTCACTTCGTTCCAAATGAAATGTCCTGGACCATGATAACACCAAAGCCTGTTGGCATGCACCCCTTTGGCTTACCTCGCCCACCACATTTTATTTGGAAAGTCACGTCTGAGAGACAATCCACTATGTCATATGGGCCTTTCCATGGAGAAGACAACTTAGGAGACTTTTCTTTGGTCTTCCTGGTATTGTACAACCACACCTTGTCTCCTGGTACAAAGCTGACTTCAGTAGACTTCTTATCCATCCTTTCTAGTAACACATTCACGAATTCTGACACATTTTCAGGCAACTCTTCATAAGGTGGGCATCCTGTTAACAGATTCACTGGCAACCAAAGTTCCCGACCAAACATCAACTTTGCTGGAGTGTATCCAGTGGTTTCATGCTCTGCTGTTCTATAGGCCATCAACAGTGGAGGGAGTAAGACATCCCAGTCATCTTGGCAGCTATTACAAAACTTTGCCAATTCCTGTCCCAATGTCCAATTGTACTTTTCTACCATCCCATTAGACTGTGGGTGAAGTGGCGTTGTTCTGATCTTTCGTATGCCACACAACTTGCAGCATTCATGGAACACAGATGATTCAAACTTACGGCCTTGATCTGAATACAGTTTATATGGCATACCAAACCTGAAGAAGAAATCACTAATAGCCGAAGCTACAGTTGTAGCTTCCTGATTTGGTATTGCATATGCCTCAGGCGACTTGGTGAAATAATCCATCACCACATAAATGTACCTGTTTCCAGCACGAGTTTGGGGCAGAGAACCAGCAATGTCAACGGCTACTCTTTCCATTGGTGCACCAACTTGATATAACTTCATTGGAGCACGTCCCTTATGCTTGAGTCCCTTTTTAGCACAACATGTACTGCATGTCCTGCACCATTCTTCCACATCTCGCCTCATACCTATCCAGTAAAATCTTTGTCGTACGTGACTCAATGTCTTCTTGATTCCGAGATGTCCTCCTGTTAAACTACCATGGGATTGACGCAACACAACTTCCCGTAACTTTCTCGGTATAACCGTTTGCCAAGTCGTCACTTTCCCATCTGCAGTTTCCCATCTCCGGAGAAGAATACCATCTTCAAGCTTCAACTGGTCCTATTGTGCCCAATAGTTCTTTGTCACAGGGCTTAAGCTAGACACCTTCTCCCAAGTAGGGTGCAAAACACTTGCTTTTAGAAAATCAATTATTGGCTTCAAATCTTGGTCTCCTTCAAATCTCCTGCTTTGATTTAATATCTGTACCTGGTTCCATTTCA